GCATATAGTTATTTACCTTACTGCGCTAACTTTACAGTGCCTAATTTTAACCTAAACTAACGTTGCCATTTGTTGCATGTTCTGTTGAAATTTAGTTATCAATAGTGATTATTAGTGGGTGGGAATTGTTCATGAAAATTTATTCGTATGATGGAAACAATATATTATCCAGATACCTGGGAATTATGGTTGTCATTCATGGTCATTCTTAGTTCTATGCATTTGCTCGCTAAATTAAAACTGCAAAATTTACACTTTTAGAAATCAACTACATATGTATGTACACATATGTATGTTCTATTTATTTGTAATGTTCAAAAGATTTTTATTACACTGAATAAATCATTTATTAATTACGTAAGCGAAATAATGGTTCTGAAAATTTTTAGGTGAGCCAAAATTCATATTTTTGAGGGAATGTTTACGAAAGGGCAAGCCCCGTTCTAGGCAATTTGGTGCCCTCATCTAACGAGAAGTACCCCTTAAAATTCTCGCACCTTCGGCGTATCGACACATATTTACATTTTTACCATGCCGCATAACTGCACTTTCACAAATTTACATTTTGCACCAATTGTACCTGCCCAAATTAGTCTTTTTAACCCTGTAAACTGTATGATTAACAACGAGAAAATGGATTAAATCGGGGACGATATAAGTTTGCTGTGGCCATGGCGCGGGAGGAGAAATTCAGGACTTAAATAAAACTCGAAAAAACTGAAAGATCGAAAATTTAACATTGCGTTGTATAGGGAAATATCCAAATTTTCGGGAAGAAAATCTTCAAATTTAGCATTGTGTTGGCATATGTACGCTTTGTCTCAAATGTAAGAGATGAAAATTGAAAATGCTCTTATTTTGTGACGTACGTGTCCTCAGTCTTGAGGGTTGGGTATATTATAGATAATTTATTGCCACATGTCTCCACAAAGTTTCATTCAAATTCGGCTACAACTTTCTGTGATTTTAATATTTTTCCAAAATTAGTCAAATTTTACTGTCTCAAAACTAAGAGATAGGGCGTTTTTTAACTAATTTAATATTAATTCCTAATTGAATCCTGACCAATAAGCTGTTTTTAATATTTGGTGAAACCTCCCTGGACTAAAATTAACTCAAATATCCGTCGTTTCATTGAATCATTCAAATTCTGCAGAGTTTCCAATGGGATGTTCGCCCATTCTTCGTGAATTTGACGTTCCAGTTCTTGTTTGGTCCGATACTGACGTCCGTGTGAATATACTCGACGCGAAAGTTCGGCCCACAGATTCTCCATTGGATTGAGATCGGGACTTCTTGCTGGCCAGGGCAAAGTCCGAACGTTTTTCCTCGCTAGAAAGTCCATTGTGGAGCGAGAAGCGTGAATTGAAGCATTGTCTTGCTGGAAAATCCACCCTCTCCCTCCAATTTTTGGACCTTCTCGAATGAGATTTGCCTTGAGGACTTCTTGGTAGCCTAGGGAATCTGTTCTTGGTGGAATGGACGCAAGTTCAGTCTTTCCATTGTACCCAAATCCTCCCCAAAGCATTACAGACCCACCCCCTATTAATAAGCCAATCAAAGATTTTTATACTTAATGATGAAGTAGTTTATTGTAAAAATAACTGGTCTAAAATGGTTTCTGACATACCTGCTTGTCGTTTGGAAAAGATTTCTGGTTCCCTCTTGAGATGGTGCCAGTAATACGAGTAACCATCCGGTCCGTCCAGATTAAACTTTTTTTCGTCCGTGAAAATGACCTTTTGCCACTCTTTGTCCCATGACATGTGTTTCCTGGCGAATTCCAGCCTTGCGTCCTTGTGGCGTTGGGTCAGGGGAGGCTGCGTAAGCTTTTTCCTCCATTCCAAGTCGGTATTATTGGTCAGGGATCTATGCACGGTGTCTTTTGAGACGGTAAACGGCAGTTCCCTTTGAATTTCTCTGATAGAGTACTGCCCTGTTGCGGCAAGTTTGCTAATTTGTCGCTCGTCCCGAGGTGTCAAAATCTTAGGGCGACCATAGGAAGTGGTTTCAAGGCCTTGGTGGGTCTTTGAATTAAGATAATTCGAGATTGCACTTTGCGAACACCCGAGAAATTGAGAAATTCTCGATTGAGACGCCCCTTGCTCATGCAGAAGGTCGATCTGCCCCAACTGGTAGTCGGAAAGAGGTTTCCCGGTTGGCATCTTGACCAATACTGACATTTCAAGTCGAGAACTGGCCAGGTGGCTAAGTGATTAATTGATTAAATTTCCCAAAAACGCCCTATCTCTTATAAGAGATAGGGTGTTTTTGGGAAAAGTATACTTTTGAGACAGTCCAATTTGACTAATTTTGGGAAAATGTTAAAATCTCGGAAAGTTGTAGCCTAGTTTGAATGAAACTTTGTGGAGCCATGTGGCACTAAATTATCTATAATATTACAAAATATCATGACCCACGAGTAACATATCACAGAATGAGAGCATTTCCAATTTCTATCTCTTACATTTGAGACAGAGTATAGGAGAAATCCCTCAAAATTGCAATAAATTTGAGGTCGCGGAGAGAAAATGGTGAAAATCAATGACCTCCTACAGGGTTTGGCACGTACGTGGATACGAATTTGACCTTGAATAACCCCAGAACGGTTTGTCGCAGCGGGTCAAAATTTTGAACAGACGAGCATGTTATCCTCAAATACGTGTGTGCAAAAATTCAACTCTCTACTTTCCAAAATGCCTCCCCCACAGCCCACAGAAGGTGAGGCAGTCATAAAAACTCGTTGCAAACTTAAGTACTCGTCTAGCCTAATAACAGAACATCTTAAAAGTAAAGGGATAACATTTTCGAAATCTAGAATCAATCTGGTATTGAAAAATATAGGTGAAAAGCGAGAAATTTTGAGCTAAGGGCAACCACCACCCCCTCTAAGAAGGCAAAAAAAGTGTTAATTCCGGCCGTGCTTAGGAAAAGTGACCTCTTGACCTCAAAAGACACTCCACCGACCCAAAGGGAAATTTTCCGTAAGGTTGGAGTGTCTAAGCGTTGAGTGAAAAGAGAAATTTAGATTTTGAAGAAACGACGTCGTCGGAAAACTCGTATGCATCAGCTGACCGAAAAACAGGAAAAAACTCATGCCCGTGTTTACAAAAAAAAATATTTGAATTTTCTGTCAAGGAATCAGAGTGAGTTATTGGTGACATTTGACGAAGCACTAATTTCTCCACAAGTTACTAATTAGGTTCGAAGAGCTTATTACACGACAAATGCCGAAAACAATTCACGCTAGTTGGTGCTTCCGCGTGAGGAGAACTTTTTTAAACAGTTTATGGTGATGGGTGCAATGTAGGGTCGTGGTGTCCTCCCACTTACCAAAGTCCACCAAAAAGTGAAGGAATCTTCGAAGTATTGTGTGGACCGTGTATTGAAACCACTTTTAGAATAACATTTTAATAAATTGCACGGTAAAAAAATAATTAAGGTGAGTTTTCATCATGACGGAGCGTCTTCCTAGACGGCAAGGTTGACCCAAGATAATACCAACGACTTTGAAGCTAGATTTGAGATAAAAATCACTTCGAATAGTGAAATACCTATACAATCCCCCGATATAAGTCAAATGGACTTATTTGGGGTCGGATACTTGAAAACAAAAATTTTTCTGCGGAGACCGGATTTTTTAGACGGGGTTTGGAAAAAGTTAAAATGACTGTCTCAACTTCTGTGGGCTGTGGGGGAGGCATTTTTGAAAGTAGAGAGTTGAATTTTTGCACACACGTATTTGAGAATAACATGCTCGTCTGTTCAAAATTTTGACCCGCTGCGACAAACCGTTCTCGGGTTATTCAAGGTCAAATTCGTATCCACGTACGTGCCAAACCCTTCTGTAGAAACGACAATTGTCTTCCTTCCGAGCCATGACCACGATTTTTCAGGACGACTTTTGTCGTACTGCCGAATTAAACCATTTCTTATAAAACGACAATTGTCGTCGTTACGGTTTAAAAGGTTTCGTACCTTTTAAACCGTAACGACGACAATTTGAATAGACAACTAATAAAAGTAATTAGATATTGTTATCGCACATAAGGTTCACTAATTATACATACGTGAACAATTTAAAACAATACCATAACATTCCACCCTAAACACGTGTTACGTCGTAGATTTTCATTTTATTACATATTACTGAAACCGATTCAGTGAAACGTACATAGTTATACCACTGTATCGAACATACTAAGCAAAGATACTGTTTGACCCAGGCAAAAATTATGTGAGACCAGGGTGGTCAGTCTGTCCAAAAAATTGCTGCCAAATTTAACCTTCAATGGTTTCAGGGAACGAAGCTGTCGCCTCCGGATTGTTTTTCGCCTCGCCGTTATCATCCATGTAGAATATATGTATGCATATATATGTAACCTATAAAATATTTATATAAATATGCAAGCAATGTAGAAATTCAAGGAGAAACTTGGGTAATTTTTTAATCCCGTGACAAACTCCTAGTTAAAGCCATACGTGTCATACTGACACATCTGTCACCCACATGTTGCGATTATACATGTATACATATGCGACCTTGTTAATTATATTTGCAACATACATATGTAAATACGTGAGCGATTATCTATTAGGACTAGCTGACTGTCAGTTCCACGTGATGGTTACTCATCCATGCATGCTGTAAATATACATAATTAACAAGGTCGCGTATGTAATCCCAGCAAGTGGGTGACAGATGTGTGAGCATAACAAGTATGTCCATATGGCTTGAACCCGGAGTTTGTCATTAAACTGAAAAATTATCCTAGTTTTTCTTGGAATTTCTTTATTGTATGCATATTATATTAATATTTTATAAGTTATATATATATTGTTCTATTAAATAGACTTGTTTGAAAGAAATTTACATAAGAATAACGCAGAGTTCTCTGAATTATATTACATAACATACCAGGTTTTGGGAGGTAATTTTGATCGTCTGGTATGAATTTGTCAAATCTTAAAATGGTATAAATTGACGAAGAGAGGTGCAAACTAATATCAAAAGTAAAACATTTGTTGAAAACTTAAAAATCACATTTTCACCCTGTTTTTCTGTAAAAATTTGTATATAAAGTTCTTCTATTAGGAAATTTTACAAAATGACGAAACTGTTCTTTTTCTTGTCCGCGGTGGTAATTTTCCTAAATTTAACTTCTCACGTTGAGGGCTGCACGTGGTGCTCGGGTGGGACTCGAGTTCGTTCAGGGAACAGACCAACTAGAAACGGCTGTGGGGTTGGATGGCAAAGCGTAATTTGTTTTATTTGTATTATTCAGCACTAGCGTATAAGCCCGTCTCCCGCCGGGAGAGAGTTGATTTGGTATTGGGGTAGTGGGGGCTTACCTATCCCAACCCCCGATAACCACAACCCATAGATAACCATTAGACTACACAGCAGAGAGGAAAGTTCTATCACCGAACGGTGATAGAAAATGTTGATCAATCTGCAAACCATCCGGTAGATGTCTACCACCACGATGGTGATGACACCTTTCATAACCGCGCGGTTGTAGGTGATCACCATTGCCGTAGAGTCACATGACATATTCTGACCGCTAGGTGATGGAATGGTTGTCAAAATATTTTAGAGTGTGGATGGGTTGTATAAAATCCACTTTTTTCCTCACGGAATATATGGACGTTTCCTGATCAAACTTTAAATTGTAATTCTTACTATTCCAGCAAGTTCTGAACCGACTAGTGACTCCTAAAACGATCGGGTGCTGCAATTCGCACGATTTCTGTTACAATGATTGCTCGAAAACGAAAGCCATTTGTGACAATGAGTTCTCAAATTGCCTCAAGAACATATGTGACAATTATAGGAGCGAGGGAATATGTGAGTATTTACAGTCTTGATTTGTTTTTCGCCATTATATTTAAATACTTATGTCCAATGGAACCTTATTTCGAGCAACTGGGCGATTGTGTACCCCATTTGTCCCAAAAAAATCAAGCTAAAAATTAGGAATCATATGATGCTAATTTTTCAGTCGAATCGGGCCCATTGAAGAAAAGTTTTTGGCGGCAAAGTTAAATCTTTCGAAAATTTTGTCTTCCTTTTTCCTCCTTTAGCGCTTGATTTTTTGATATAACTCGCTAGGCGGTCCCAGTGCAGTGTAGCTGAAAAAAGGTTGCACTGTTAGTGGCGATGAAAATTTAGAATATTTAAACACGATGAAATTTTAAATTTTTAGATTATATTACATTTCTAACATGGTATTTTTCTATATGCGTGTTCAGGCATAAGAGGAATCATGAGTTACTTTGTGGAAAAGATGGGTTGCTCGGCCTATCAAAGTGCTCAAGCGGAAGGGTGCAGATGTCAGGCTCGGACCGGAAAATAAGGACAAGACGCAATTTTACCGAGTTGGTACGATAAAGAAATCAATAATGGCATCCATAATTTGGATAGCATTATAAAACCAAAACAATATCATATTTAAGTCTACAAGCAATAAAAAGAATTGTATAATTAAGCAATTATCATATAGGCCAGATTACCTACAAACTGTCCTAATAAACCAAATGCACATAAGGAAGTAGCTTCAGTCACACTTTACTCAAACCACGCCTACGACTGTGCGGGACCACATAATTTCCCTGCATTTCATCCATTGTTTCAGTTTCGCTGAAAATCTCATTTTGCCCCGACCACACCCCCTGGCGCCGAGAGGGTGGACCGGTTGACTTGACCCAAAGGAAGAGTATTTTACCATTATTTTGAACAGTTCCTGTGTCGAGGCGGTCCACTTTACGGCTGCAATTAAGTAATGAAAAGGATATAATGCACAATGTAATGGAATGTAAGTAATGACGTTGCAGGTTGTTATTTCTGTTTGAATTTAGTAATATATTATTTGCAAAAGGAATGTTGAAGAATATGAGGTAATCAGCTTGTAAATTATTCCATGGTTTCTCGAAAAGATAGCAAAAACGCTGAAAGCCACACCCACTCGGATTCGGTACATAATCATCATGAACCTATTTCCTAAGTGAACACTATAGAGATAGGAAAAGTGGAAAACTTTTAAATACTCCTAAGTATTTTATCTAAGGCAACCTAAATATTTGGTTGCCTTAAAACTTCATGCAAATTATGATGGCTGGGTTCTAAAACACATTTATACATAATTTCCACAGCATGATCAATCAAAATAAATTAAATTGGCTTTTTTCCACATTTATCACTTTTTATAGATCCGGCAAAAGAGTATAGAGAGCTGAACGCCGAATTTACCTGTTCGGTGGAGAAAAGAGTACGTTTCTCCACCGAACAGGTAAATTCGGCGTTCAGCCAACCGAACATTGTGTCATAGCTATTGAAGCGGTTTCCGAAAAGTCTATGTATTCAATCGAATTTTGCCGCCATCATGGATTGCATTTATACCAGAGGCATACCTGTGCAAGTGAATTTCGCTTCACTCAACCTCACTCATTGTCACCTCGAGTAAAACTCCCTTCACTCCCCTTACACACGTGAAGGAAGGCTGAGTGTGGCTTCACTCACTGTTAGATCTCCTTCGCATTCCCTCACTCACTCTCACCTCACTCATTCCCCTCACTCAGCTATTTTCCTCACTCTTTCTTTCATCCAATTAAGTCCCTCGTGTCATCATAACTTTGGCGCCATCTACATAGTGGGGCAATGTGAGACTGGGCCGGGGCAATGTGAGACTGGTCTGGAGCAATGGGACTGGGTTGGGGTAACATAGTACGGTACTATGTTAATATTGCCACGCAGATTTCAGTATGTAAACCAATCATCTACCCTATATTCCTTCACCATTCTTCCCCGTAGACGAAGGAGTGAAAGATATGAAGCCTTCATCTCCTTCACTCCTTCACCCTTCATTCCAATCATTTCTCATTTGGGTCTCCCTCACTCAGCTTCACTCACTCGATCAAAGTTTTCACCTCCCTCACTCAGCTTCACTCTCCTTCACTCCCTCATCGTGAATGAAGCTTCATTTTGGGTAAATTGAGCGAAGCTGCACAGGTATGACCAGAGGTCATCGCCGCCGAGCCGCCATACGCCCATAGAAATTTAGGCGCCGCCGCCGCCGATATATCTTACTAGCGTATAAGCCCGTCTCCGGGCGCGAGTTGATTATATTTTCAAGAAAATCGAATGGGATTGTGCATAATTCCACCCTATTAATTTTTTATTTCATCCATATTATTAGCTGGAAATAACTGTTAGCAAGGGAAGTGAAAGTAAATGATCCTCAACGGAAGCAATAGTATCTCCCAATTCACTTCAACTTCACCTTAACGTATAGTGGCCAAGATAACCATTATTAGATAACGATTCTGGATAACCATACCATCGTCATACCATCATTCCCAGATAACCACAAGACGACAAACCGCAGATGAGTTGTGTCACATCAGAACTGGTACTACTGTGCGTTGCGCACAGAACAATAGTCGCAGTGCCGACTTTACACAACTCGTCGACCTTGTGCTGTGCGCACAGCACAGCCCAGCCTATTAGCCGCAGTTCCGACGTGATGACACGGCCATCTTGTTAAGTGCAAACACGTGCACACTAAACAAACAGTTCATGATATGACACGACAATCTTGTTTAGTGCAAACATGTGCACACTGCACGGAATAATGTTGGTGTAGTGGTATGCACTGCAATGGCTGTTATCTGAGAGTGGTTGTCTTGGGTGGTTATCTGGGATTGGTTCTCTAGGAATGGCTATCTGACTGTAGCTATCTTGGGGTGGTTATCTGGGAGTGCTTATCTTGAGGTGGTTAACTGGGAGTGCTTATCTTGTGGTGGTTATCCGGGAGTGGCTGTCTTGGGGTAGACTCCTGGGGGTATTTCTTTCGGGGTTGTCGAGAGTGGTTGCCAGACGGTGATTATCTGTCTGACGTAGATTATCTTGGGTGGTTATTTGGGTGTAAATGAAATATAATTTTTTATTAACTTCAAATTTTTGAATTTTCGCGCCATTCGAAACTTAAGTTTCTCCACTTTCACTTCCGTTGTAGAAAATTACTTTCACTTCCGTTGCCGACAGACATTTCCAGCTTATAATATAGATTCCCTATTCCTTCAACATTGAGACGCCACGCCGCGCCGCGCCACCGCGCCGATAAATACCTTAAATTTGCGCCGCCGCCAGTGCAAAATTGGTCGGCGTTGACCTCTGATTTATACATATATCGTATAATTGAAATTTTTTGATTTCATCGTTTTTTGTTGAGGTTATGGATTTGTAATGTGCGACTCCTTTGTAGTCATACATATTTTCTGATGTGTAATTTGTGTAATGTGTATGCAATGATAATAATTGAAATCTTTTCCATCAATACCAAATTATTATTCTGCAAAATTGCGAAAACCTCCTTCACCAATTAGCCTGCTGCCAACCAAACGTCGCAGCTTTCATCAAAAATTCATAGGGCTTATACAGGGTGGTTTAAATGTTACAATGCAAAATTTATCAATGCGAAAAATTCGCTAATCGTCATTAGTTACCGATATTTTGCCTCTGAAATTCAACATTTTAAGAATTTTGTCCTCAGTATTCCATAAGTTTTGATAAAAATTAATACAAATATCAATCCCAAGTCTAACCAATGGAAATTTATGAATTTTTCCCATTGAAAAATTTTCCGTTGTAACCTGACATTTAAACCATACTGTGTATAAATTTTTAACAAATCCTATTCAATTATTGATTTAGTCGGTTTGCCAGTAATACAAACAATTTGTCAAATACCAAACTTAATAAAGCCGATCCATATCAGATCTTCAAAAACCATGATACATACATATGTAGTTAATCCTTTAAACGATTTAACCATTCACTGAAAAATATTTTTTCATGGAACGTTTCCTCACTTAAATACAGATATTCAAACGGCCAACATGTTTTCGAAATTCGCGTTCGATACATTTTCAAGATATTCCATCACCCTCCAAAAGCTTCATTTCGTCCCCCCGATGACGTGGAACCCAGAAAAACGCAAGTTCGAAATGGATCCCAATCCCAATAAAGTCAGGTGGATATTGTCAAATCTAAATGTCGTCGTGACGTTTATAATTTTGCCAATATATATTCTAACAACCCACTCCGCCAAACTAAACCCTAGTCAGATCGTTTACCTCTTATTAGAATTTCTAACAGCGGCGCATGCCGTGCCGCTATTCGTCATGGCGGTCACTGCCGGGAAGGAGTACTCTCACGCTATGAATACTTTTATCCAATTGGAGCAATATTTAGCAGGTAAGCAATCTTAAGACTATAATTGATATCGACCCTACCCCTTTAGTAAAGAAAAGGTGGGGTTTAACGTACACGTATTAGCACATAGCTACTGCAAACGGGCAGAACAGGTAGAACAGGTAGATTTTAACTAGGTAGGTTGGGATAGGTTCCATTTGGACAGCTACTGTAGCGTAAACGCTAAATCATTGGGTTGGAGAAAACACATATCACTCAACAGCATGTACCGTACCGGAGTCTTTAGCCGAGATAGGAGTCAGCTTCTGCCTTATTCAGGCAATGACCATCCCCAAGTAGACAAGTATTTAGTACGCTGTTGTTGATTTACCAAAAACTCCAGCCGCCACCAAATTTCGAACCAGGGACTTCTGCGGAAAGAGATGGATGGACCAATTAGATATGACCCCGGTTCGTTTACCGCGTTAGTATGATATGATATTAAATACAATATAGCTACAATGTAGCTAATTAAATACAAGATAAAATATCTAGTACCTTAATGTTAACAAGTTGATTATTACGCAGTGAATCTGAATACCGGTGTAATATCTACGCTGTAAGGCCACACATCACTAGTGTGTCAAGAGCAAAAAGGCAGGCAGTACCTTTTGGCCTGCCTCTTTGCCTTTTTGCCCCACAAAAATGGGTGCCTTTTTGCCCTTTTGCTAATTCGGGCGAGATGAGACGAAAACCCTGAGATAAGGTTAAACTGAAAGTTATTTCCTTGCGTTTTTTATACTTTCCCCAAATATGATCTTTGGCTCAAATTTTTATTACTTAAGCTGATGACGATTTGGAAACAACCCTGAAAATCTTTAGCGAAACGTACTCAACTAATTTCGTATCCATGAAATCCAGAGCCCTCCTATACAATCTTTAAAACATTAAATATATTAAGTAATTTCTTTAACACGTTATAAACGACAAGAAATCCGGTCCAATCGTCAAAAATCGAGCAGAAAGGCATGAAACAGGCAAAAGGGCATCAAAAAGGCACGCCAAAAGGCAAGCGGGCATTTATAAGACATAAGGGCATGAAGAAATAGCAGAAAGGCTGCCTTTTGCACCCAAAGCACATCAATCAACTATCAACTTCTCGACGGGTTTTCAAATTGCCAACCAATTACCAATATAATAATTTCAAATTTCATTTCATAATTTCAAATTACCAATTACTAATTAAATTAATTTCACCTACCGGGCGAATACTAATTTAACTTTATTCAATTTAACAGAAAACCAACCAATCTCAAAACCTCGCAGATACCCGATCTGGTACCGCGACCGGCATGGCTT